TTATTATAAATTTTTATAATTTTAAACTGTACATGTTTTATTTTTGAAAGAACTCCGTACTAATTATATGGAAGATTGAAAAATACTGGGAAAATGAATTAGTTTTTATATAACTTATAATGTGGCGAACAAAATATGTTATATCATAGATACGAGGCTTAATAATGGTTTTTGAGTTGTATGAAAAATGTTTTCTGTCAATTTATAAGTTTTATTACTTTAATGTACCGTCGTTATTCAAAAAAACTTAATTCATTATTGAACCTTGTGTCTATAACATTTTATTTTCGCCATATGTTAAAATTTACTTATTTCACCGTAATCCAATTTTCTATGTAATTAGTGTGACGTTCTTTTATCACAGTTAAATACCAACGTATTCTGTTTTATTACGGAAAAAGAGTAATACATATATAATACAATTTATAAGGAAAGTGTCATATATTTTCTTCAATTACAAAAAAGCTCGTAAACGAAAAATTAATTATTTTAATCAGTACATAATAAAAGTAAAATGAATAAACATCTTCAGATTCGTGTGATAAATTTAAATCACACAGAATAAAGCCCTAATAAGTGTTGGTCATTGATTCGCCTGAACTTCGACCTTTCCCGTAAAAAAGATGCCCCCAATAACTCATTTAGGTGGACCGCTATAAATAGTTAAAATTACTTGGAGGACCGAACGGAACGAGGGTGTTTTAGCGACCATTCTGGAAAAATAAACGATCGCGACCGCGTAAGGAACAGATGACTCTGCCACGCGGATGCCAACTCCTCGTTGGAGTGACAGCCGTCGTGGCTGACGATTGTTTTTCAGTTTACGTTAACGTTTCGCTTTCGTTCCGATATACGGTCGTTGAACGAGCTCCGCCGTTAGTTCGCAGTCTTTATTGACTGCCGGTTAAATTAGGCTCGGAAGGAGCCTTGTTCAGAACTATTTGATTTTATGGGACATCTCCAGTTGCTCTCTTCGCGCGACAGGCGACGACGAGGTTGTTAGAAGGGTAAACCGCAAAGGCTCCGTCGAAGACAAACGTACGTCGAGGCTGGTGACATTTTGCGCAACAGATCGACTTGTCATGTGAATAACGGCTGCCGAAGTTGACAGACGGATGCCGGCGAGACGTTCGCTGACAGAAACTTCATTTCACACGTCGTTAAACGACCGACTCTTTATCTCGTATAATTGGTATCCCGCCTATCTCGCGACGTGTCTCTCAATAAAAATCCCACCTGCTCCAGATACTCGACATTTGCGTGATCTCGATATTTCGCACGATTGCTTCTGGCGTAAAATGAAATATCCGAGTGGTGAAAATCGAGCGAAGGAGGAAAAGACGGGAAGCAACAAAATGTAGCGCGAGGTAGAGTAAAGGATGGAATCCGGTGAAGGGCGGACGCCGGTCTCGTTCGGGGGTAACTGAAATAAGGTATAATTTTCCGCGCCAATTAAGGTCTTTAAGAATTGCGACCAATTGAGCGGGAGGGTCAGAACCTTAGCTTTAGGGGAGAGATGTACCACCATCCCCCTGTAATTTATTATTGATTAGATCGGATCGAGAAAAAGAGGTCTCGGTATGTAGACTTAAGATTGGTCTGAGATCGTCTGTGTATAACGGAGTGTAAAGAGCAAATGGCGAATGGCGTTTTTCCAATTTCCGGCCCGGATACTTAAAGCATAATGGTAGTAGGTACTTGATACACAATCTGTTCTTCGTTTTAACAAGTTTGTTGATTTTAGGTAATTATCAGAATTCGCGAAAAATCATATGTCATTCCTAATTTAAGTATTTATCAATTTTTCTTGTTCTTCTTATCATAATAAAACAAGAAAAAATTGTTGACAATTTTATATCAAAATATGTGTAAAAGATTTCAAATAATTAAATATATATATCTCAAGATGAGAGACAGCTAGTCTCCTAAATACCTTATTATTGATTTGAAAAAAGTATAGAGAAATATTATTAATTTTGATTCTCACGTTGTAAAAGCGCGTATAGTTTTCTATATTATTAAGGGGATGCTGGAGTTACCGACGGAACACTCATTTCGTATTTCTCGTGTCATTTCGTTTTCCTTATACAGAATAAAAAATCCTTTTCCAGAATAAAAGGGAAAAGACAAATAAATCCGGGAAAGTCCAAACCGGTATGAGAATCCCTCAAAAATTACTACGTATAGGTTCTTTCTTCACATATATATAAATGAATGTAAGCATATATCTAAACAGAAAAGACTTTTCTGGATTTGACTAATTTATAAGATTATCACGAGACCTTCAAATTATGATTTTGAAGCTTACAAAGGAAATGGCATGAGAGATACGATTTAAGTGTACATAACCTCACATTCAAGCGATATATAAGATATAGTAAAACAAGAAATAACGTAACGTTTTACTTAATGTATGTAAATATTTTCTCGATGTATGTAATATTTTAATTGGAATTAAAAATCTGTTTTGTCGACATATCGATTAAGTTCGGCCGTCTCTCCAGCATCGCCTTAATATTAATTAAATTAACTATTATCAATTATTAAATTTATCACAAAGAGTCACTTTTAATGAACAAAAAAAGAAAACAAATTTTTGATAAAGATTTTTCAATTTCCGCAGTTAAAATGAAAGTCTATCAGTTGATAAGTAACTTTTTATAAGAATACGTTAATTTGTATTAAAATTTTTATTTTCGTAATAATAGAATTTGCTATTAACGTACGCGTGTCTTTCGGACAAGAACGATGTAGCACGCAATGAGTTATCGAAAGAGAGGGTCGAGAGAGCGAAAGTATTTTCTCATCGATATCTCGAGCGCGCGAGGTCATCATCGGATCAACTCAGGCGTAGTCCCACGTTTCTGTGGTTCACACTTAATTAAACCGCCATAGGAACTCGGGTGCTGGCACGTGGCGGACAATGCCGCGAGTCTTTAGCGGCGATTGTTATGTAAAGCACACCCTATATATGCACCCGCGTAGTTTCTCTCGTATCGTATCGAGAAGTACGTAGCACCTACCATTTCGTTTGTACCTATATGTACAAAGAGAACGGAGTAACTTTTTGAAATTAACTACTCGATCATTTTTCATCAACCAGCAACAGGATCTTCCGAAATATAATAATTCTAACATTCGATGCCGAAATGCTTTATTTTATTAAAACAAAGTGTCTAATTGTTATAAATAAAATAAAGCATTTTGTAACCAAAAAAAAAAGTGTCTATTTATAATTACAAAAATAGACACTTTTTTTGGTATAAAATAAAGCATTTCGGCATCGAATGTTAGAAATTATATTGAAATGCTTTATTTTATAACAAAAAGAAGTGTCTATAATTATAAATAGACACTTTTCTTTGTTATAAAATAAAGCATTTTATCTGTTGTATATTTTTCAAATATATTTCACATCACACAGTGTAGGTATAAAGTTGTAAACAGAATTTTCAATTCTGTGACATGAGAGCGTTTAAAATACACTTTAGCTCGTTCAAGTGCCACTTTTGAGATAAAAAAAAAATACTTTATTGATCAAATTATAACGTAATAATTAAACCAAAATAATATAACAGATGAAAAAGTAAATCGGAAATCAAAGTATTCATTAAAGTCATATATCTGATTAAATCAGATGATTGCCTACACTTTCCTAATATACTAACATACACTTCGATCAAATCTCGCATATTTATCTAATCATAAAACATATGTGATGAAACTGTCACCATGTATGTAATGTAACCGTGAGTGATTGCTTCATCGCTCTCTCATCGATAAGAACTTAAGCAGCCTTTTATCATCCGCGCTGACACGGATGACAAAACGAGAAAATCTCTTAAAGTGGCCCGTAACGTTTCCGGCGGGGTCGCGACAATCGCGATGATCTAAAAAAAATCCCCCGCGCGATCCCACTCGGTAGCGGAATCTTTCTCGACCTCGTGCCTCCGTCTGGATTGGCCATCGTGGAAAAGCGACGTCGCGGGAAATGCTGTGGATTGGCCGTAGGGCGAGGCTTGCGTCGTGACGGAAGCGTCACGTCCGATCGCACGTAGAGCACCCAAAGCTCCACCTACCTCAGAACGCGCGGTATTCGCGTGACGAAGAGCATTACGAGGCTCGTTAAGGAGAGGAGAGAAAGATCGTTTCTATGACACGCGCAGTGAGAGGGCGATCGATAGCCGATGAGATCGTCGTCGGAATCCGGATAAGCTTTAGAGCTTCGTCCCTCGATTAGCGGAGACAAAACCGTTAAGATCGTCTATACGTGAAAAAAAAAATAGAGGACCCTGTTGCAAACCAGAAAGGGAAACGGGAGGAAAGAGGGATGAAGAGAAGGGCGAGAAGAGGGCGAAGCATCTTTTAGGTGGGGGTTGGTCGAGCGAAAGAGGGAGGCTCTTCTCGCGAGGGAGGAAGGGCAAGCTACGGGCTTGAGTGTGGTAATTCGAAAAATAAGTCTCCACGGGCGACAAGCACACTTGACCGAAGCACACTCGAATCGGAAGGGTCGGGCACTCGGGAATAACAATTAATAACGCCAGTCGGCCTACCCAACGATCTCTCCGGCTACTCAAGGGTCTCCAGGGATTATGTGAACGCGGAAGGCGCCCAGCATTCGTCGGCTGATCCTCCATTCTGACGTGTCGACGGACAGAGCGAGCGAGAATGACAGGGTGTGCTGCGCGATTGAGAAAATTCCACGTGTAAGCCTTCGAATTTTTCCCACAAATTTATAAAGGTGGAAGAAAAGTCGAGTTTTCGTGACGACAAGACGAAGCGGTGAACTTTTGCCACGATAAGGTTCCGTAAAATGTGACGAGACGAGAGTTTTTCCTCGAGTGCGCGGATAAAATCGATGATGGTTGTAATTATGAAGAAGGTGAAGGAAGGAACAATTTGAAGGGAACATCGAGTGCGCGCATATTATAGCAAAATATTTCTAGACAGCTACCGTTGTGATCGTCGTGAGTAAGAGAACAGCAGCGAAGCGCAAAGTGATGGAGGACGAGAAACACAGCGAAGCTTCGCCGAAACCCCTTCAACCGACCCCCTTCAGTATCGCCGATATTCTGAGTCGAAAAAACACGGGCGCGGATTCGAGGAGATGCGAGAAGATCCAAGCCACGATCTCCATGCCGGCGAGACGACACAATAATCGTGAATATGAACGCGTGGAGAACGAGCAGTTCGACGGTAGCTACGATCACGATCAGGTGATTCATTATCCAAGATTGCCCACTCCGGAGCTGAATATGGCGCACGAGCTGGATATCTTGAGGAGGAACTTGGCGCAGGCAAATCTGTCAAATTTCGGCGGCATCCCGCACTTGACCCAAGGGACTTTTAAGAATCACTTCGAGACCCTGGGTAACCTAACGGCCTATCAATCCGTTAAAGAACCGGAAACTTCGCACCGACAGCAAGACGAAGCCTTGGACATGAGTAAAAATAAATATCTAGGTATGTGGTGTTATTCACACGCATAAATTGCCATTGTATATTTCTGTAACGAGAAACCGTATCGTGTATCGCCATCTTTTTTATCTTCTCGAGTAAAAGAACAAAATAATGTCGTGTATATGAATCTTCCGTCATTAACTCTACAGTACTAAATTAAGTAAAATCACATGCATGTAATTATATGAAGCAAAATTTTCTTTAAAATACTGATATCACAGAGAGAGAGAGAGAGAGAGAGAGAGGGAGGGGGAGAGAAACTATTAGAAAAAATCGTCAGCGATTTATTCTTAGTGTAAAGTCTCCAAGAGAAATCGAAATCAGCTTTTTTAAAGAAAGAGAAAAACATATGTTGTTCTCAGGGGGGAACAATAACTTCGAGATTCTGAAAGATGATGACCTGCGACCCGAGGATCTTGTATCGGACACGAGGATGCGGGCTTAAGAGGTCATTTGAAGCGCAGATACGCGCGTAACAGGCGAGCTCTTTTCAAGGGGTTTTAAAGCTAACCCGAGCGCAGATAACGTAATTGAATGTAATTTTAGTAGCATAAGTGGCACTCGACTCGGCAGACGTCACGAGTATACCGAGCTACTTCTTGCACTTGTTCGATCTCTGGGCCGCACGCACTCCTTGTTCCTGCGTGTCTCGAGCACACGCAAGGATTCGCAGAGATTACCTCCGTTTAGATGAAACCATTTTAGATCAAGGTTATACGATCGCTAACTATTTCCGAGTAAACGTTCATGATTGATTTATTCGTGACGGATGTAGTGCTACACGATCCATACAGGATAGCAATAATTCTTAGTTAATCGTTTGCATCCGCCAGCTACACAATAATAAGTATTGCTCTACGTGTTGCACGAAAATATGAAATGTGCTATTTTGTGTTGCAATTATGTTCAGAATAGTTTATGTTTAATCAATTGAGAGAGTCGGCTCGTACATTGCGTTACGTTTATTATTATATACACACAGGATAACGGTAGCTTATCTTTTCATCCCTTTGTGCTACGTCCATTTTTTGGTAATACTCGCCCTCGTTAATGTTACGAAGGTATAGAATTACTTCGGTCGAATAGTGTTATCTTAGTATAAGGGTAAACAGATGCTCTCCCTCGCGCATTGACTGCTTTATGAAATCAATCATGATTAACAGCGTTCACGATAAGATATATGCAGGACCTTTTATTTTGTATTCCTTCGCAATTTTTACAAAGATATGACATTTTTTTTCAGCATTTAGAATGTAAAATTCAAATTGTTATTGACATTAACTATTAAATTTAATTGTTCCATTCAGGATGTAACAAATTATAGGAGAGAGTGGTCTAAATCAAACCTATTTGTAGTTTTTGTTCTTTATAAGTCCGGATCTACGATAGATGGATTTAAGCCATAAGAAAAATTGACCAATTACAGTCAAATACGAGGAGAATAATTGACTGTAATTCGTCCATTTCTTATGGCATAAGGCTTGGAAATTTATTGTAGATCCGAGGTAAGGCTTAAATAAAATCTGATCATGAAACCAATGGTGCCGTTCATCATTTAATTTCCTTTATTTTTGCTTGAGACCATTTTGACGTATCTCTTACCTGTGCCTAACTGTAATGGAAAACGTAAAAATGCATTTTCCGATCCGATTTTTATGGACTTTCAGATAGAATTTTAAAATATTTTAATCAATTTTTGTTAGGATTGAGTAGAAACGAGCAATTTAAGACTCAAAGATAAAAATACAGTTTATATTATTAGAAGTGAAATCAATAAAAAATTCCATCAATCTGAGTCTGACGACACATGATATTTTATTGATTTATAGTGTCCCTTAGACCAGATCTGGTCGTGGCGAACCTTCCTTTCTTCGATGAATTAGCTGGCTTACTTGTCTTTTAAGTGTCTTTTGTATAGATCCGATTTGGACACGGGTTCTTTCGAACGATTGGAACAAATTTTACAATAAACCGCAAAAGTAATCACAAAACTCTTGATATTTTTGAATTCTGCACTCTTTAATTATCTTAAATCAATTACCGTTCAAATTTTTAACATGTTTAAATAATGATTTACAAGAATTTTCTTTTTTAAAAAAATGTTTGCATGATAACCGAAAATACATACTTGTGTCTATTCTATGAACGTTATGACAGAGTACTGCCATACTGCTGTCACATGTTCGGTATCTTGTAAGGACTTTACATTATTATATAGATTTATATTCAGATAAAATTGGATATATTTTATAATAATTTGACTACTACATGTATAATATTATATTATTGCAAAAGAAGAAAAAATGATACAAAATGATTTAAGATAATTAAGAAAATATTCGCAATAATTTCAAGATACATTCATAAAAAAAATAATTCAGGAAACAGGTTATGTAAAATTTTATATGGATAAATCACGTAAAGGTAACATCTCAAATACACAGTAATTAACATTACGAAAGAGCGTCTACTCTTAAACGAAGAATTGTCACCTGAAACCGTACGATAGCATATTGTTTGTAGCAGCTCGAGGGTGAAGAGGTAGACACGAGCTGGCACCGATTCAAGGTGCACTTAGAAAATTACGAGTCCACTTTCGAGGGGAAATCTCTCCAGTCATTTAATATGATAATGGACAGTCAAAAGAATCAACGTTGCCGCGACAAATTATATTCTTAACTACTTATTACGATAATAATTAAAAAAATCCTTCCTGCTTTTCGCGTTTTTTTTCCCCCGATAAGGTCCATCCGTCGCGACGGAGGAGCCGAAAAGCGTCTTAGTGGTCTCGAAGGATCATCGATGTAATCAGAGTCGGTAGACGCCACTTGCTCGCCTGGAACTGAACTCTCGATATAGATTCGATATAAACATCCATAGGATGTTTGACGAGCACCGAAGGATGGACGCATTAGCCGGACGAGATGGCATCTAGTCAACGTCGAAAGTGATCAAATATAGATCTCTCTAAATGCCCCACATCTCCTGCTGACCACCGACGATAAACATTGACGTAGGATGAGCGTTTCGAGCGTGAACGAAATAATTATGACACTGTTGGAGAGATCTTTGTGATTTATATTCGCAAATACTTTCTAATTTAAAAAAAAAAAGTTATTAATCCATTTTTACACTAAGGATAACGGGTTTCAGATATCGAAATTCCTTAACGATTCTACCGAAAGAACGATTTTGCTAAAATATCTAAAAATTTAGCTGGACACAGATTTGAAAATAATTTTATTGAATAAACATCAAAATAATTACGTAGAAAAAAGAACAAGTACAATAAGCGATCGAGAGACCGTCGAAAATTTTAACAATCTAGCAGTCAGCTTGAGCGTCCTACATAAATATTTCGATTCCGGTAAAATTATTTCCAAATCTGTATTTAGCTAAACTTTTAGATACTTCAGCAAACTGTTCTTACCGTGCAGACATTTACATTGATATTTTTGATATCCATAATTTCAGGGCTTGGTAAAATAATTTATTTCACCTCGCGATGATCGACAATGTTTCACAAAGGAATGCTTATTAAAGTATAACATTAAATTTATTTATATATTTATATAATTTATACTTTGTATTATGTATATATATAAGCGAACGTGTCCTCTCGCGCTTTCTCACATACTTTCTTCCTTTCACGCGTTTCCACTCGAATTCTCTTTCTCTCTATCGCTTTCTTTTCCTCTCTTTCCTTGTCTTTCAGTCTCTCATACATGCTCTCATTCTTACTGTGTCCGTTCTTTTCTCTCCTATATTTCATCTACTAATAGTAACAATGATTATTAATCTCTCCAACGACTTAAATGCGATGTAAATTCCTTTTGTAATATACGCATTTCTTTTTCCTTCCATTTCTTTCTTCCCTTTTTCACATTTCTTCCTCGTCGTATGTACCACATTTTCTTCTGCGGTATAGTCGATAGAGAGCCTAAAGTTCAACTTATATATTTATGTATTTATTTTTCGATATATTATATAGTGGTGTGTCATTAACAAAATAAAACTATAAGATACTACAACAGTCAGCAAGCGAAAACGGATAATCAGTGACGAGGCATTTACACTTGTGTGAAGCCGCGATCGAAGAAAGACAAAAGAAAGGATATAATCGGCCTCGGGATCGAACGCACGAAGCGTCTTTGCGACTAAAATCAAGCGAGTTCAAGATCGTCTTCCGATATCGACATCCACGTCGGAGATCACTCCCCCAGAGAATCTTGTCCCTCGAGAAACATCAAGGTACACGAAATCGATAGACCACTTCGATAGAAGGATAACATTTAAAAAAAATGTTTGCAGTTGCAAAAGGATAAGGTTCCCTGTTGAAAGAACAGTAACTAGGATACAACGTCAGTAACACTTGGGTGTTAAGAAGAGTATTATGTAGAACTTATACTGAATTGTAGACGCGCTTCCAAGCACTCACCGAATGTAAAGAAGCAATACAGATCCTAATATATATAATTATAAAAATTCGTGTACATGCATACCTTTGACTGTACAATGAGTGTTTACTCAATAAGCAGAATGTTAGCGGCATGCTAACAGCTTGCCAGCAGATTCTGCGACAGATTGGTATCAATTGCATCTGTATTAAGCTCATGATCTACCCAATAGAGCTTTTATAATCTGATAGCAAATTGTTAGCAGAGAATAAGTTAATTTATCATTTTATAGAAATTAAAATAGAATATGTTAATTAAATAGTTATGAAAGAGCAGATTCTACTCTATTTTTGCAGCTAATCTGTTATCAGATTTCATTATTGCTAATATTCTGTTAACAAAATCAATAACGGATATTTTACAAAATCTGTTCAGTGAGCAAAATTCGCGCACGTGTTCTTAGCACCAAGACACTACCGGGTCTTCTCCTGATGTTAGTTTGTCAGCAGATTGGCATCACTCGTATTAAACTCGTGATCTGTCAACAGAATCTGCTGACATGATCTAATAGTACATATATATAGAGCCAGCAAAAATTAAATAAAATCTGCTATACATTTTATAACAATTTAATTCGAATATATTATTTAAATGATTACGAAATTCTGCTCAGTTTCCGCAGTTAATCTCCCGTCATATTCTGTTAGCAAATTTCATATTTCTGTTGGCATTTTGTCAAGAGGTACAGATACTTTACAAAATATTTTTTCAGACATTTGACTATCTGGGCAATGTATTCGATGACATGGGATGGGAACAAACAAATCAGGTTTCTGCTGTGCGTGAAATGTGTCAAGACTACTTGTCGATCGTTATGAAATGCTATTATATACGTAATATCTATCAAGAAAATGAGTCTTTTGACTACATCTCGAACACCACAGTCGCGTATATCGTGAATTAATATCAAAGAGTTTTCCATGTAAGGTGCATGATAGACACATGTATTTATAATGTCGCATCTTTTATCCGAAATCTGTTACACGTAAGAGAAGTTAGTAAAAGCCTCGGAACGGGCACGCGATGCAATCGTTTATGATCTTACGGGGAAATTATCAATTCGGATTGTTCAATTTTAAAGGAATTTTCGCTTATCAATAGGTTCTCTAGAAAAGAAAAAACTGAAGAAACAGATCATTCTTTCTACTTTTGAAAAAAAAAAAATTTAGAATTGAATACTTTCTGTATAAACTTTAATTATAAATTCACTTTTTTAAAACAAGTTTTATCACCTTTTATAATTCTAATTTTATTCATTATGTTTCAACTATAAGCGAATTAACATTTTTTTAATCCGAAATTGAATATTTTCTCGTTAGACAAAATCATTAGTTCGTCGACACGTATTCGTTGCAAGTACGTTCGAGGATGCGTGTGCTATTACATAACGAATGTCTTTGAGGAGCATTGCTTAAATTCTAGTAGACATGAAAACACGATGTATCAGAATGTGGCGTCTATATCCACAGATTAACGTAATTTTATCTATTTCACATGCTGCGAGACACGGAGTACGAAAATTCTAGCTTTGTCCCAGTTCGTATCAATCATGGATCTTTATTTTGCGGTCGATTACAAATAGAAAATTTCTTATATTTGGATGCGCCACTTGCTTGCCGACTACGCGCATTTATTCGTATTTCGAAGAAGTTTTTCCAGTAATATTATTTTTCTGTTTATTAGAATATTAATTTTTTTTTATGTAGAACTCTCGCGCAATGACGCAATAACAATTTAAGATTTTATTATGATTTGCGTAAAAAAATTAAGACTTCTTATGATTTTCGTCTCAAAATTCATCAATGACAATTAACATGTTGCCAATTTTTATTGATTTAGCATTAAAATAGGAACAAATATTTTTAAAATATAGGTAAATTAAATGTATATATGCACAATATTGCAACATAACAATTAAAGAAAAAAAAATACAATTACACATCTCATAATTCCGTATTAAAATTGCAAATGAAATTCATAAATATACGCGTTGCAAGATTTTTACATTATTTTTAGACAAAGAGCAAAAATCCTTAGAAACAGAAACTTAGAAAAATCCTTAGAAACTTGATGTTCCAAACATGAATTAATAAATTTAATACGGACTCTAATGTTAACACTCAATCTAATCAAATTACATAATTTCTTTAAAAAGTTACAGGTATCAATACCAAACACATGTCTAATATAAGAAAAAGTGAAATTAAAATAATACATTGTGATAATATAAAACGCATAATTTCGCCCGCGTGAATTAATATATAATTATAATAAGGCTCAATAAAATTAAAAAATAATAAGAAGAAACAGACATTTCATTGAGCCTTATTATAATTATATATTAATTCACGCGGGCGAAATTATGCGTTTTATATTATCACAATGTATTATTTTAATTTCACTTTTTCTTATATTAGACATGTGTTTGGTATTGATACTTGTAACTTTTTAAAGAAATTATGTAATTTGATTAGATTGAGACTTACATACAATTTATAACACAATGACATAATTAATTTACCATCAATATTATAATTCAACGAATTTTTAGGCTCATAGCTCTGTTTCTTCTTATTATTTTTTAAAATAATTTATATTTAAAATAAAAATTATAAATCAAAAGTTGAATTATAAAATAAGTTTCTAAAAACTTATTTAAAATTTAAAATTATTGAAGTCGGTGAAACAACTGATACCAAAAACATAGGTATATATTTGAAATAGAAAATATAAAATAGATTCTAAAAACCTATTTAAAATATTAAATAAGAAATAGGTTAGAAGAAATTATATAAAATAATTAATAACTCTCTCTCTCTCTCTCTCTAATTTTTCTTTATTTAAAATATATTTAAAATAAATTTATTTGAAATATAAATCAAAATATCTTTGCGAGAAAATGCTCGCAGTAAAAGTTTCAGCTTTGTACCGAGAATGAATAATGATTAAAAAATATGAATTTTATTTAAGATTTTCTATCTTTAGTTTCAAATATGTAAGTTTTTGGCGTCGATAAAAAAAAAGATCTGCAAGTCTTATACCTTAAATTAAAACGCAGACTATTATTTGTTTTCAGAGCGATTAATTTTAATTATCCTCTCGTTAAAAAGGGTTTGTTATTTTTTATTCATTGCGAGGAGTATGTATCGCAAAGTAGCGGATCACGCTCGTTGCCAAGTAGAAGAAGCTAGTCTGATCTGCAATACGATTGTACTCTAGTGCCACTGGTTAAACTTAGAGGAGAATTACCGCGGAACAGAAGCATAAACATGTCGGAGTAGCGAGTACATGTGTTAATGTTTGTACGAGACATCAAAAGCAACGAGGCTCTCTCTCTCGCTCTTTCTCTCTCCGATCGTTCACCGTCTCTGTAGCGCTGCTCGCTGATGATTACTCCGGCTTTCGAGTTAAACGATTGCTTTATGGTATAGTTGCAGATTCTCGCGCAAATCTAAATATTTGTCCGCAAACGAATTTGTACGGCAAGCTCGCGTTATTCGAAAAATGAGATTTCACCATTCGTCGGTATGTATAAAGCTTAAAAGCTCCGTTCTCTCAATAAGTAACGATTTATAAATATAATACATCAGAATGCGTTTGATACCATCATAATTTATGGAAATTATGCATAATAAAAGCTTTACTTTTTACGGCTCTATTAATTAAAATTCATTCACGTAGCAACAAGCTTCAATATTTATAAAATAGAAGTTTTCGTTCACTTATCTTACAGACGAGGCGGAGGACGACGCGTACGAATCGCAAAATTCAGGCCAAAGTTTACAGAACAGGAAAAAGCGCAGCAGAGCGGCATTCTCGCATGCGCAAGTCTACGAGCTGGAAAGAAGATTTGCCGCTCAAAAATATTTGTCGGGTCCAGAAAGGGCAGATCTAGCACGTGGCTTGAAACTAACGGAGACGCAAGTGAAGATCTGGTTTCAGAATCGACGGTGCGATTTTTTAACTTGTATACTTAACCACATCTCGTTACTTTTCTAGATTTAATACGAAAATTTCGGAAAACAATTTTCGAAAAATAAATTCCATTTTGCTGGAAATATTTTTGCTTTCCTTTTCAATTGTGAAATTTCTCTTCTCAACCGTCATTAATGACTTCAGATACAAGACTAAGCGGCGCCAACAGCAGGAATTGGGCGCCCTCGTAAACTCTGGAAGCGCCAGGCGCGTGGCTGTACGCGTTCTGGTACATCCGGACGAACATCTGAGGGGATTGCCTCTTCGTGGTTCCGGACAACTTCCCGGACAAATGTCGAGCCCGCAGATTCATCCGGCGAACAAAGCGCTCGGTGGTTTCCCGTATTATTGTCTGCCATATCATCCGCTACTCTGTCCGCCCATGCATGCCACTCATGTTCAGGTACAAAACCCGATCACATCCGATTTTGATCCAAATCATATCTCGAAAATCAAGGACGAGAAGTGAATAGTGGACTGCTCGCGAAGTATCGACTATCGTTTCGTGTCTAAAAGAAGATGATGGTACTTCTAGAAATAACGGTCAGAATATCATGATTTAAAGAATACTCTTTGATGCGATACCTTTTAGGTAGATAATACGAATATTGAGACTAATGTTGAGGAGACTTTTCTGCAAAATGATTTTGTTTGAGAAATGAATTGAAGGCAACGATGTGCTCAACTACATGAAAACTGTACAACATATATGAAATTTTTAGATTGTATTTATTTATTAAATAAAATGTAGCTTCAGTCGAGAAGCGTATCTACATTTTTTAGAATAGAAAATTTAAAAGTACGTGTAAAATTTGACTACACCTATACCAAATGTTATTAATAATTTATAATACTTGTTGTTGACAGCTTGTTTGCAAAATATGCTCCGGTTTAACATATTATTTGTAAGTCTTTCAATTGCATTTTAACTCATGCGCACTTTGTGTGAATAAAAAGTTTCTTCAGAATTACATTAATATAACGTTTAAATAACTGAATTTACCAATCATCTTGTAGTTGTCATCATCACGCATATGTATTGTAATTCAATAGCGATATAAAAACAATCGTGTAAATTAGCCTGTAAATAAATGTATAAAATACAAAATATTGAATAATTTCCTGCATTTTCTCTTTTGTCATCTAAAATAACCAAACTTAAATTTGGAAAGAAATAAAAAGATTTATTTTCGAACCAAGCTACAGCTTCTCTTAGTTTCCTATTAATCTTTTGATATTTATTTGTGATCTTCCAAGTTTTATATTTTAAAACAAAGAAGACTAAAGTTGACACAACTATAATATCACAAAATGCAAAAACGTTGTGCTTTATTTTATCTTGATTAAGAAAATATTGTTTAATATAGAAATTATGGAGCACAATTTTTCAAATAAAAATGAAAAATGTGTTCTTCGAGTTACTAACGAAATATGTGCAATTAATAGCGAAACATGTGCAATGTAAAATACGAAATAAATTAGATATTTAATACTAATCAAATTTGTTTAACGCGCGCCACGCGTGTACCATGTTCAAACTCAATTTGTTGTTATAAATACAGATGCGTGAACGTCTTTAAATAAAAATATGTATATCAACCAGAGTCTGTCATTAATGTTTCCCTTCCTCAGCTTTCCTCTTTCTCCCCTTAATTTCGAGAACAAAGAGATACAAAGTTGCAGGTGGAAAATGGGTTTTTCTTGGTGATATCGCAACTGACTTTCTCATAAGAATTTTAATGGCTGTGTCTGGGTGGGCCCGGCAGACATCAGATATGTTTATTCAGACGTGGAGACGAGCAGGCTTAACCGACGGACGAGAAAAAAAAATCTAGATCTGACACTCATCTGTTGTAAACAAAAGTGTTACATTGCCCTCGCCGAAACGTCTTTTACGTTCCGCCCATGTAAATCCTTATGGGACGGTCCCCGAGAGAGTGTCAAGGAATTAGTAATTTTAATATTATCTGTTTAGATTTCTTAAGTTTTAATTGCATGCATATGTGTGATCATAGAGTATTTAATAAGCTACAATTAAGTATATTATTCTTTTTCCACCATTACGTCGAACGTGTGAAAAGCTACGATGTCTCAACAGTAAGTATCTACAGTGTAGAGATATCTAACTGAAAATGCTTTATAAAGATAAAATAAATAAATTAGAGGAGCAATAATCTTTTTTAAACGCGGCTACGTGATGAAAGGAATTTAAATTTTGGCAAGCAAACAGAAAAAAACTCTTTGATCGTCCATCACCCATTTACTCCGTAATTCGTATTTTTGGCGTTCCTGAGTATCAACAAACTGTAGTGGTCGGCACAATTTTCGTGACGCAAGCCGCAAATTATTACGAGTTTTGCGTGGCACTAACAGCGACTGTGCATCGACACAAGGCCTCGTTTAGCGCAAGAGCATTATGGCTTTACAATGTTTAGAACTGTTCTAAACGAAGCAATAATGGACTGCAGAAGCGACTATAAAGTCAATACAGCCTAACCGATTTTCCGTCGCGTACGTTTAAATCACGAGTACGAATTACGGGTATGAAGTCGTTGCATTAATTGTTACAATCCTCATTGCTTCAATCTTTTAAGATAAATAAATAAAAACTGTTTCAATAATGCTCTACAAATTTCTGTTTAGCTTGTGATAAAAAAGCTATACAAATAAAATTAAAATATATTAAGCACAAAACGCATCCAATCAAATAGGTTTGTCAATAAAACAGGTTTAATATAAAAAATTTTAATCTCAAAAAATTGAAACCATATTCCTAAAACAATAATGTTTCATTATTAATTCGAAATGAGTCTCATTATTAGCGTTTTTTAATATTTAACTGTATAATGATTTTTTATTGAAGCTTAAAGAATATTAAGGTCAAGATGCAACAAACCATTTTCAATTGCTTGAGTTAGAAATTTGCTTTCGACGGGACGGTAACAAGCTCACAATTTGAAGCAGAAGTACGTTCGTTCGAGTGCATCCCTGATGGACTTGTCTCGTAAAACGAGAAAGGAACGATTTAACGCTCAATCAACCGACGAAAGCTAATTTTCATTAGCTGTTAATAGCACAAGACCACCCTCTCCCTTGATCACCCTCTATACCTTAATCCCTCGCTACACGGTTCTCCAAGCGCTCGACTTTCGTTTGTTACGAGAAAGCTTTGCGTGTTAAATCAATGGTACGGAATAGAAACTAGAAAGAGCAAAATTAACGTAAAATTTACACATGGAATAATAAAACGCTGCAATTTAGTAATATATAATAGGTTTATAATATATATAAAACATTTAAGAAAGTATTTTTTTTAATAAACTTTTCATTTGCTGTCATAAAAAATACTACAAGAGAACATTTTCAGTTTTTAGATTTTTAAAAGTTTGATTGAATTTTAGAGGTACTTGGAAAATCTCTCCCACTTTTTGTAATAAAAATAGCTTTCTAGATTTTTTTATATTTTGTTATTGATACTATTTGCAAGGAGAACCGATTTTGCTGAAGTATCTAAAAATTTAGCAAAGTACCAACCTAAAAATTTTGTTGAATCATTAAAATAATTCAGCATGAAGAACAATACCGCAAACAATTTTGACGTTCTAGTAATCAATTTGAGCATCCTATATATTATAATTATTTTGATGTGTAACAATTGTATTTGAAAAACTTTGTGGTAATTTTCAAATCGACATATAGCTAAATTTGTTTACATCACAATAAAACTGTAAAATTTTTTCCATATTATTGAATATATCATACTTACGATTAATATTATCGATTTTACATAGGTTCTAAAAATCTCAATATTTTGCCCTTGTTTTATAAGTTTGCAAAAATTACAATTAATTCTGTATTTCTTTTTAAGAACTTGTTTCAATTATATTCAAAAGATAAAAGTCAGATTTGAAACAAAACATAGACACACTATAGAGACAGTTTTTTAATATTTCTGACTAAATATTCTCTACATTTCAATGAATTCGTAGATAAGTATATATCGAGAGTCAGATTTACTGCAAAAAGACCACCGGAGGGATCAATTTGAATCTCATTTTAAAATATCGTACAAAGAGGACAATTCAGCCGCTCGAGGCAACATCGCGACTATTATCAATTTTTCACGAATCATTTGCGTGCACAGTAAAAAATTCTGCTTTTTCAAGCGTCTGCGGATCTCTTACAATGGATGTAAAACGAATGACAAATTTAAAAGTATAATCCAGACTTTTTCCTACATAAAGCTGATTTTCGCTAAAATATTACGGATTTTATTAAATAATTTTTTAAACAAATCATTTAAAGACATATCAAAAATGATGAACTCACAATTACTGAAATGGAAAAAGCCGTAGAGATACAGGTTTTTTTTTTTACTTTTGTAAGTAAAACAAGCGCACGATGCAAATCTGATTTCGCCATCCCCTCGAAGTAACATAAACGGAATTGCCGGTTCCAAGTTTGAGATTTCAGTCGTTACTTTCGTCTCTATCGTTACTTTTTCCTACCTCTCTTATATACCATTCTTCCGACTTCTGACACGCGTTTCAATTGGGATGGTTGCCAAGGAAACCTAGGAGCCCGAGTGTCACATGGACTATTGAAGACGTTAAAGGGGAAACCTCTCCATTTCGTCGAAAACATTCGAAACACGATGTCAGAGATCAATATGATTTATAAGTCATGACTATATTTATAAAAGTCAAGTCAAAGTAAATCTAAAATTTCGTGAATTTTAATTTCTCATATTACTTTACGTTTTTAGATATAATCAATTAATTATTTTTTATAATGCCAAGTCATTTAATTCTAATATCATATTGAATAAACGAAATAACTTAGTAATTTTTTGTTATTAAAACAATAAAATGCTTGTAATTATAAAATTATTTAAAAATTTGTTATAGTTATACCAAAAGGATTAAAACTCAACATTTCGTTTTAAAAATATAAATTTCTATTAAATTGAAAGTAGAATAAAATTATTTTAAGTATATTAATTGTTTCACAATATATATTTATATTAATTATTTAAATTTTAAATAAAATTATTTTATTAACTTTTTTGTTCAGCATCGATTTTTATTTAGTCTTGCGTGTGCGAAAATATTTTTTTCTCCATCATCGATATCTGCTCTACCTATTTTGTGAATTTGTTAGAGATGGGAGAAAATCAGCCCGAGTACGTACATCGCGCGGATCATCAAGTGAGTAACGATGCTTGAAGTCTACCAAGAAGAACTTGTCGAGCGAACTACGGAGGAAACCGTTTCCTCCGCTTTTCCGGCATTTCAAAGAAGCAATTTAGTGATTTTTCGTGGCAAAGCGCCGTCGAGGAAAATTGGCGTACGAGCGGCCAATCAGCGGTGTTTCATGCAGCCGCACCACGATTCAGAGAAATTCTTTCAAATATATTTCATAGATTTCTTGTACTTACGAACTACGAGGACAGCTTACTGCTTGTACCTT